GGGACAGAGGGACACAGCTGAAGTGCAAGGACACTGCTGGGGCCTGGGGGACACCAGGAGCAGGGCTGGGGCTGCAGGGGCACGCGAATGAGGTGTGCAATTCCGAATGCTTTGGGGAAACCCCCGCACCACGGGAATCTTGTCATGTGCTCTGAGGGCCCCAGCACAGGAAGGACATGGAACAGGTCCAAAGGAGCCTGCCAAGGTGATCAGAGGGATGGAGCAGCTCTGCTGAGGAAAGGCTGAGGGAACTGGGATTGTTCAGCCTGGAACAGAGAACCTTTGGGGTGACCTAAGTGTGGCCTTCCAGCACCTGAAGAGGCCAACAGGGAAGATGGAGGGACTCTGGACAAAAAGCCTGGGGGAATGGATTCCCACTGCCAGAGGGCAGGGATGGATTGGATATTGGGAAGGAATTCCTCCCTGGGAGGGTGGGCAGGCCCTGGCACAGGTCTCCCAGAGCAGCTGTGGCTGCCCTTGGATCCCTGGAAGCGTTCCAAAGGCACACAGATGTGGCACCTGGGGACACACACAGCAGTGCCAGTCAATGGCTGCACTCTGATCCTGGAGGGCTCTTCCAGCCTCAATATTTCCAGGGTTTATGGCCTTACCAGACATTTCCCTCACTGCCGGGCAGCTGAGGCTGTGCTAACAGAGCTCTCCTCTCTCTGTGCCAGCCCAGCTGCGCTGCCCAAGGAGCCCACCCCCCCCAGGCCCACGGGGCTGCTCTCACCTGTCCAGGATGGGCTTCTCCTGCTCCTCCTCGGGGCTGGCGCTGCCCAGGATGCGTTTCCTGGCCTCGGCGTACTCGGCCTCGCGCTGGGCCAGCGATTTGACGGGGAAGGCGGGGCGGCTGGCCGAGTGCGGGCTGCTGAGGACGCCGTTGCTCGTGGGCCGCTTGAGGATGCGGATCTGGGGCGGGGGCCCCGCGGGGAGGCTGTCGTCCTGGATCACGATCGGCACTTTGGGAGGAGATTTGGACTTTCTGCTGTTGGGAAGAAAAACACGGGGTTGGTGGTTGTTTTCCACCCGGAGTGTGAATGCCTCGTGCTCCGATGCCCTCCTGTGATTGAGAGCAGCCTGGAATAATTAAAGGCCTCGTTACAGTTGAAACTCTAAAGGGCAGCTGTGGCTGCCCCTGGATCCCTGGCAGTGCCCAAGGCCAGGCTGGA